CGTGTCTTTCTGATGTTGGTGGCCCCAGAGCTGGATGCAGCACTCCAGGTGAGGTCTCACGAGAGCTGAGCAGAGGGCGAGAATCCCCTCCCTCAACCTGGTGCTCACACTTCTCTGCATACAGCCCAGGCTACAGCTGGCCTTCTGGGCCATTTGGTCACATGGTCGTGTCCATTTTGTCATCCACCAGTACCCTCAAGTCCTTCTCCACAAGGCAGCTCTCCATCTGTCCATCCCCCAGCCTGCACTTGTGCTTGGGATTGCCCTGACCTGGGCGCAGGACCCTGCACTCGGCCTTGTTGAACTTGAGGTTGGCAGAGGCCCGCCTGTCCATAGCTGGCCTTCTGGGCCATTTGGTCACATGGTCGTGTCCATTTTGTCATCCACCAGTACCCTCAAGTCCTTCTCCACAAGGCAGCTCTCCATCTGTCCATCCCCCAGCCTGCACTTGTGCTTGGGATTGCCCTGACCTGGGCGCAGGACCCTGCACTCGGCCTTGTTGAACTTGAGGTTGGCAGAGGCCCGCCTGTCCATGTCCCTCTGGATGTCCAGGTCCCCAAACTTGCTGAGGGTGCACCCAGCCCCCCTGCCTATGTCATGATCCCTCCCCTCCTCTCTCCTGTAGGGATTACCTTTCTCATTTGTAAGGAGATGGCTTCTAAAACCAAACAAATAACAAGATCATCTGCAGTTTCTTCTCTGGGCCTCCCACTATCAAATACAGCAGCTGAAGCACGTATTTATGAGATTTCTGGTAAGGAGGAAAGACCATTGTCTGCAAAGAGCTCATTCCGGATTTGCCAATCAGTTGCTGTCTGCCTGCAGCTGAACTGAGACCCCCCTCCACATACCCACCTCCCAACAGTTTCCTTCCCTGTCCCATGGTCCTGCCCTCTCCACAACCAGTCTGTGAGATGCCTGACTTAAGGACTGTTGACGTTGAAATACTTCTAGAAGGAGGCTACGGGCGTTGAGAGCACAAGCTGCCCTGGATAGCGTTCGTCCACTGGACTGACCTGCCAGACCCTCATCCAGCACACTCCTGGCCCCTAGGAAGAGCCCCTCTTCAAGCAAAACCCAAAGACCAGCTCCCAGTGCAACTCGGGATCCAAGAACCAGCTCACCTGGAAACACACACCGTTGGGAGTAGGTCCTCACAACATCTAACTGCCACATGGGATCGGCATTTCAGGCACCCAGATCTGAAGCACCCCAGCTTACAGCAGATGAGAAGGGGCTGGGACCACTTTGATCCTTTCATGCCTGCCCAGTGCCCTCCCAGAGGTCAGCAACCTGAGATCTGCAGTTAGATCTAACGCCCAGCACAAAGCACCGACACGGAAAGGGCCAGTTCCCAAACGCAGAATAATTAACACCCTGGCAACGCGCACACAACCTCAGGAGGACCGGAAGAGCTTCCAGTTCTGCGTGGGGAGGAATAAGGATCAGCCTTGTAGGGGAGCACAGGGGAAGGAGACACCAGCATGGGCAAACCACAGGAAGAGGAAACCCACCCAGCTTCAGGACTTACCTCCACCCACTTCCCGTTGACTTCCATGAAGAGGACACAGAAGGGGTCGGATTTGGAAGTGACATCCCTGTCCAGAAGGTTCTGGCCGCACACGGACAACTCGACTTTGCAGACGCAGTACTGGGAGCCGACGGGCCCCGCCGGCGTGGGAGTCACAGTGTACGCCATGGACGCCAGGGGCAGCAGCTCCAGGCAGTCTGTGGGACACAAGAAGGGAGAGAAACCTCAGCACAAGTGGAAAGGCAGAAAATGATCCGTTGATGCTGGTGGGATGGACAGAGCCCAGAGGCCACATCCAGGGCTTCCTGCTCTAAGTCACACTCAGTAAGTTATGAGGCTTTGCTGGCTCCAAAGCATCTGCCCTCCTGGTCACCACCCCCACGTGGCCACCACACCACGCAGATGTCCTGAGTGGGACCACCTCCAGCCTGCCTTGGGTTTGCTCCATAAATAACAGATCTTCAAGGAAAGGTAACGTCTTCTGCTTACCCTCCTGAGGCAGTGGGGGGTCCCCAACCTCTTCTTCCAGCATACTGGGTTTATTTGTGGGCAGGAATTACACATCCACACCATCTTTCAGCATGAGAACTAGTCATTGTCTGGCTGGTCCCAAGCTATGGACCATGGACATAAGCTACAAGGGCCAAACTCGAGCTCTGCCCCCCAAATCGTCACAGGGAAAGGGATGAGACTGTGAGTGGGGTGGAGGGCAGCTCCGGCCCTGGTTCAGCCCTATGCCCACCCAGCTCAGCAGAACACGCTGGCTCTGGCCGCAATTACAAAGCTGGTTCATGGCAGAGCCAGGCAAACGTGACAACCCCTGCATGACCTGGTGCATGGGATGAATTACAGGGCCCTGATAAAAACATCTTTGTCATTAGAAGAGCTTCCCAAAAGCCTGCTACCAAAGCCATTCTGCAGAGATAAACGTGGTTTATACCATTATTAGCGCAAAACCCCATCCTACATGACAGTTTTGCCTTCTGATGTGCAGTTTACTCAGCAAAAACCACCAAAGGTCTTCAACAGAGATAAGAAAAGGGGAGGGAGAAGAGAAGAAAAAGCATTTTCAGATTAATTGATACTAAACCTTTGGGGCTAGGGTTGCTAGTGGAGAGAGAGCTCTTTTCAGTAGCCACTTCAGTACTTTCACTTGTCAAGAGCGGCTCCTGGCTTGTCTACTTTGTCTGAAACCCTCAAACATCACCCTCCTCCACCCTGATAGCTAGCATTGAATCCCCAATTAATATTTGTTTTGCCTGGGCATGAGTACTTATGCTGCTGGGAGTTGGGCTGCTGCCCTCTTCCCTTGCAGCTCAGCATCCAAGCTGGGATGGGAATGAGACACAGGGATGGGGTGATCCCAGCACGGCTGTGGGAGAGGGAGCTCAAGGCTCAGCGCTGGATGGCCTGAGTGCTCAGCCCCAGCTGCAGTGAATACTGAGCAGTGTGCTCATTTCAGCTCCCTAAGAACCCAGAAACACCTCCTCTGGAAGAAAATCCCCATCCTTGACTGCACACACACGTACATCACCAAAACAGCACCCACGTCCCTTCCCTGAGTGCGGTTTCCCTTCGCCCAGACCAAACCAGTCTCACGCCATCACTCCCGTCCGCAGCAGCCCAACGCCAAAACGATGGCAGTGGGACACTGAAACGGTGGCACATGTGGGCAACCATCCATGTACCACAACTTTGAGGAGAAACACGTGCAGAAGCCAAGGCCTCACGGCTCGGCTCATCCACCACAAAGCCGCTGAGGCGATGGTTCCCAAACGCCCGGCCTGGCTGGAGCTGCCCCTGCTCCTCTGGAGCCCACGGTGCCAGTTGCAGTTGAAACAAAGATTTTATAGAATTTTTTCTTAACGCACAGATCATGTAATCGATGTCTTAAAATAGCTGTTCTTGTTCTATTTATGCTGCTGTCTGTCTGCTGCTCCCTCCAAAAAGCAAACATGGGGCAGCTGTGCTGGCGTGGACCTGGTCCTGCCGGAGCAGGGAGATCTGGGCTGGGTTTTTCCATCTCCCCTTCCCCCAGATCTCAACACTGTCTCACAAAAAGCAGCAGCAGCAAATGACTCAGTGGAAAAAGCTTTTTCCCAGGGCTGGCAGGCACCAAAACATCCTCTGCGCATCGCCCGTGCTCCAGCCCCTGCACTCAGCCTGCCATGCTCCCCAGGAGCACATGGTCCAAACGGGCACAGGGGACAGCTGAGGGCCAAGACTCGGTGGGACTTGTGTCCCCTGCATGGACACGCTTTCCCCCCAGGCACCTGAAATCAGGGACTGGAACACTGGCCTCTCCCCCAGGTGCCAAGCTGGAGAGCTTGATGCCATCTCACAGACGCCAAGCACAAAATCCTGTAGTTGTTCCCTCCCCAAGAAGGCAAAAGGCAGTGGGGAAGATGCTGCCACCCCACGAAAGAGGATTTTTCCACCGAGGAGCTGCTGGTCCAGCCATCCCACGAGGGATGGAGATGCCAAAGAGATGAGATCTGCAGCCACCTCTCCTCCCCTGCTCCGGCTGGGATCCAGCACATTCCCAGGGCCAGGCAGGGGTCCGGACCCTGCAGCCTTGGTCCCCCTGGCTCAGAGGCTCACACCAGGCTTTGTCGATCTGGTGGCATTTCAACCCCCCAGAAAATGCTTTAAATTCAGGGGGATTTGAGCTGGCACCAAATGAGCTGGCTCGCCATCATCTGTATTCCAGTCTCTCCTCCTTTTTTTGTTCTCCTCTCCCCGCATTCGCCGCCCTGAACGAAGTCCTGCCACTCGTTCAGCATCTGCGGTCAAATATTCTCCTGACGCACAACCCGAGCTGCCGGCTTCATGCCAGGCACACAGACACGTGGTCTGCTGAGACGTGTCCAGGCTACCTGCGAGAGGGCTCAGGGACAAGCACAAAGGGCTGACGGCCACACAGTCCCGCCTGCCACTGGCCACAGCAGATGCCTGACCAGGAGTCACAAGAGCAGCACCAAGGAGGAGGGACACGGTCCCCAAATCTTTTTTGGGCTCCAGTTTCCCAGACTTCCTGTGCCAGACACATCTTTGTGCTTTGTAACCTTCAAGTGCTTTTTGCTCCATGACTTGGTCACCCTCAAGCTGCTCCATGTCCACAACCATAGAATCACAGAGTGGTTTGTGTCCAAAGGGACATTAAAGACCATCCAGTTCCAACCCCCTGCCATGGGCAGGGACACCTTCCACTAGACCAGGTTGCTCCAAGCCTCATCCAGCCTGGCCTCGGACACTTCCAGGGATGGGGCATCCACAGCTTCTCTGGGACACCTGTCCCAGTGCCTCACCACCCTCCCCTGGAAGAATTTTTTCCTGATATCTAATCCGATATACAAGATCCCACAGCGATGGGTTTTGCCAGCTGGGAGCATGCACAAGCCCTGAGGCCACCCAGAGAGTGGGTGCTGGGAGCCCCAGAGCAACGCACAGAGATGTGGTTCTGCCTCCTCCTCCTCCCCCATGGCCCCCCAGTCTCTGCAGCAGATCCCCAAACACATGCAGAAGGGCTGGCTGGAATCCCTGGGATCTTCCTCTCTTATCTGTAAGAGGAAGAGGGGGAGGTGTTATCTGTTTTGCAAACTAACTGCTGCCCTGGGAGGTTCCCTGTCCCTCCCCAGGAGAGAAGCCCCATGAGACACAGTTAAGCCCCATTTTAAGGATTAAACAGGAAAAAAAAAGAAAGGGGTGGGGGGAGGAAATAAGCCGTGCCACTGTGCTTTAAGTGAAACATTTTGGGGGCTTTTTAAAATATTAATAGTGTTGTCAACCTTCAGTGATCTCCTCTCCCTAAAGAAATCAGATTTATTTTCACAGGGAATACCAGGCATATTTGAAACAGCCCCAGAAGTACCAATATCCACCAGTGACTGGTGCAAAGTCCCTCTGGGTCCCTCCCGGGGATGTCCCTTCCCTTTTTTGGGGTGGTTTGTGATTTTTGTAGTGCCCCATAGAAGTCACCCTGTGACTCAGTTTACCCACTCAGGCTGCCCCACTACAGCCTCCTGCAATTGTAGAAGCAAAATTTCCTTCCTGGAAGGGGAAAGTGAGGGAGATGAGTATCAAACAGGTACATTTGCACAGCTATAAAGCGCACAGCTGAGCTTACAGGCAGCCGAGACGCAGGGGGAGAGCAGCAGTACCCACAGGAGGATGAAGAGCTGGTGAAAACGGGTTGTCAGAAGCTTGAAGCAAAGGAGAGGGACGGGAGGACACAGAAACCGGTTGCCCAGAGCAGCAGCAAAGCTGAAACGCAGCACACACAGAGCTGGAGACACCAGGAAAAGCCGGGATGTGCCGTGACGGATGCCCAGTGCAGCTCCCCATGCCATCAAAACCCACACCGGCTGCTTTGCTCCCTCCTGTCAACAAATACAGTCATCTCCAGAATTATTGTGCCAAGCGGATGTTTGCCTTTCAAGCTCACCTAGGCAACACGGTGGATTCACCAGTGGCACCTGGCCTTAATGACAGCCTCGGTACCTCCTGAGCGCACGTGCAATTAGTCATGTACAACCGCACCGTGCTGCCGGCCCCAGCCAACGCCACTGCCGCGGGATGCTCGCACACGGAAACGCCCTGCAAGGATGTACACCTCGGGTACCTGCTACTGCCAGAGGATCTGCGTCTCTCCTGTGAGGCAGGGAAAGGCTGAAAACTGCCTCCGAGCATTCCAGAGCGGGTGGCATGGCTGGGACTGAGCTCAACTTCTCCCAGATTCCAGGAGATTTGGAGCAGACCTGGCACAGAGGGATGCCCAGGCTGGGCTCTGGTTTGCAGGCTGGTGTGCTGTGAGCGAGTCCCACAGTCCTGCCTGGTGGAAGAAGCCAAGGGAACCGTACTGAGATACTCTGGGGCCCTGATACAGAGGGAAAAAGGGTTTCAGGATGACATAACCAAGTAATTTCCCCAATGATCCCTTCCTGATGGAAACTGTGCCTAATGGTGCTTCAGCAGGTACCCCACAGCACCAGAGCTGGGCCCCCAGAGCGGCTTCACATTTCAGCCCCTCCGTAAGTCCCAGCCAGCGCGAGACGATGCCGCACACAGAGGGCTCTGTACCCGGCTGCGTCAGACACCACGACCCCCCAGCCAGCGCGCCGGGACAGGCAAGGCAGTTCTTCCAAGTCCTACAGGGAAGAGGAGTAAAAGCCCAAGAGGGAAAGGGCAGATG